TTAATATGCTTTAATTCCTCTCTCCTTTCTTGTTGGTGATTTCCCTCCACTTTCACACATTTTGATGTTAATGGAGGTATATTGGTTTGTAATATTATTTACAAACATTGTAAATCATTGTCATCCAACCTATGCACACATAACATCAGTCTCTGTTTTCATTTATTTTCCATGCATTTTATGGTATCTTTTTTCTCATGGGCATTCCATAGCATGTTGAATAGTTATGACAGTCTTTTCTAAAGTGAAAACCATGTAAATTCAGCTGCATACCAAAACTCCACTCTAACATTTCTACCCCTACTGACATCACAAATTATATCTCATGATATTTGTATTCTATAACATGAATATATGATTTTTTTTGTTCCATATTTCCAAATTCTGAAGCAGAAACAATATTTTTACTATAGGGTTATATCAGTATTTGCTATGTATTTAACTTTCCCTAAGGACATTACTTATTCTTAAGCATGTGTGTTGTTGTCTAGTGCTGATGTTACCTATCCAAACATCATGTCGGGGGTCTTTATATGGTATTAATTTTATGTCTTAAATATTTAAAGTATTTTGTCATGAGTGCTGTGCGTGGGGTAGTTATTCCTCGTTATCTTCCTGACTGTCTTCTCAAGACAACCATGTCTCCATGCCACAGTCAGGCACAGAAGATTTGTTGCTAAATGTGGGACCGGGAGGAGATGGAATTGGCACCTTTGAGAATTTACAATTATTGATAGACCAGACATGTCAAGAGACACGTGAAGGGCACAACAGTTGTTGCAATGAAGATTCACAATATGGGACAATTATCCATAGCACAATTCCTCCTGTACAAAGTGATCCTGCGTGTAAACCATGCTGGGTAAAACTCCATTTTACGTCTGTTGCACGTAGAGATAAATATGTTTCTTTTAGCAAAGATCCATGTGACATTTTTAACAAGACACAATCTCTGAGAAGAATGTTGGAACATATGGAAAGTCCCCTAATCCATAATGCAAATGATTATTCAAAATACTGTCATAAACTTTCAGTCATGTCATTCTCAACATCAGAGAATTATAAAGGAAGATGAAAAATCTACACAGGATCCTATTGAGGAGTCCTCAATACTTTTCCAGCATCATGTACTTCATGAGAAACTCTACAATTGTAAAGGATATGGCAAAGCTACCAAATGGTGCCCAAGACTTACTGAACATCACAGAGAGAAACCTCACAAGTGTGAAGAGCATGGTAAAGCCTTGTATTGGCATCCATAGCTGACTTACCATCTAAGGATTCATGCTGGAGAAAAGCCTACACGCTTCCTGATTGTGGTAACACCTTCCTGTGCTGTGTCACCTTTCCCGATATCAGAGAGTTCATACTGGGGAGAAACCTTACAGATGTCAGGAATGTGGGAAAGCCTTTAACCAACTGTCAGCCTTTAACTATCTTAGCATCACAGAATTCATACTGAGGGGAAATCTTACAATTGTGAAGGATGTGACAAAGCCTTTAACAATAAGTCATGTCTTACTCAACAACATAGAATTCATACAGGGGAGAAACCTTCCAGATGTGAAGAATGTAGGCCAAGCCTTCTAGCATCCATCACATTTAAGTCAACATCACAGAATTCATACTGGGGAGAAACTTTACAAATGTGAAGAATGTGGCAAAGCCTTTCACCGCAAGTCAAGTGTACTCTACATTAGAGAATTCACATCAGAGAGAAATGTTAAAATTGTGAAGTCATTTTTTTTTACTTTAGTCTCTTTTTTTCAAGATTTATTTTATTATGCATACAAGAACTGGGGTATCTGCCAGAGGTGGGGGTGTGTGAGAGGATTCATCAGAGGCAGAGTGGGGAACAGAACAGGCGGATTGACTGAAATACACTGCTGAGGGGAGCAGCAGGCGAGACAGGAAAGGTCTGCTGCACCATGTGGGTAGCTCCCTGACCTGGAATCCAACTCATACTGCAGTGGCTGTGTATAGCTACATAGGTTGTGTCTTAACCCCTTGTGCCACCAGTGAGGTCCCAACTTTGGTGTCTTTAATCAGAAGTCCAGAAGTTTAACCAGAAGTGTCAAAGTGATTAACCAGAAGTCAGATCATCCTAAACATCAGAGAGTGCAAATCAAGAGAAACTGTAAATGGAAAGTGATGAGTGGTTTGTCCAAATATGAATTTTGAAGCCACCAGGTTTTCATACTGGAAACTTGAAAGAAGTGAAAATATGATTAATTAATAATGCAATTTAGATTCATATTAAGATATTGCAATACAGTAGGAAGTGAGAAACACTTTACATTCCTTAAGTCAGAAAATTGTTATGGAGCATAAGCCAACATTAAAACACTAAATATTAGAATAACTGAAAAGTCTGAGGGCCTTCCTGGTGGTGCAGAGGGTTATGTCACAGCACTATGAAGCTACTGTTTGGTCCCTGGCCAGGGAGCTGACCACATAAAACAGCAGACCTCTCCTGACTTATCTGCTGCTCCCCTCAGCAGTGTGTTTCAGTCAATCTGCTTGTTCTGCTCTGCACTCTGTCTTTGGGCAATCCTCTCACCCCGTACAATTCTGGCCTACCCCTCTGTTCTTGTATGCATAAATAAATAAAATCAATCTTTAAAAAAATAAATAAGAATTCAAGACGATGGTTTTGGGCCCTGTATAGTTATTTTCTTTGTCCTTTTTTTAATCAACCATACTTGAGATATTGTGAAGAGACCTGATGAATATAATTCAGCCCTAAATCACTTCACTCTATGGCTTTCTCCTGGTATGTAGGTGGAGTCAAGTATTTGACTTTCGTGTGTCAAACATCTAAGGGACACTCTCCAGTTGATGAGTTTCTTTACATCTTAATTGCTTGGGTACATTTATGATGGTGTCATGTATCATGGATGAAGAAAATCTAAATGGATATGCTGTTTGTGTCTGACTGAAAAGATTGCTCTAAATCACCCAGAGGAGTCGTGGACTTCATTTTGGGTATAAAAGTTAGACACGGAAACGTGCTGAAGTTCAACTCATTTCATCATTTTCTCCTTCAGGGAATACACGAACAGTTTATTAATATCCTCATGTTTCTTCATGGTAGTAATGGAGCCATGAATATTATTGGACGTTGTTGCCAAAAGAAATCTTCACAAGCATGTGATGAAAGAGCAGGTGAGCTTTTCATAACAGCGTAGAATTCTTGTCAATTCACATTAGCTAAGCAAAGCATCTTTATGATGAACACCGACTCTGTGATCCAGATATCAGAAGGTCAAGATGCTTCTTAAATACCTGAATGCTGATTTTGATGAAATGTGTCTTGGTATCTGAATGTCTTATTTAGACTATATGTGAACTTCTTATGTATATTATTAAAATTTATTCATACAAGAGCTGGGGTGCAGGCCAAAGGGGTGTGTGTGTGTGTGTGTGTGTGTGTGTGTGAGAGAGAGAGAGAGAGAGAGAGAGAGAGAGAGAGAGAGAGGATTCACCAGAGACAGAGTGGGGCATAGAACAGGCCGACTGACTGAAATACACTACTGAGGGGAGCAGTGGGCAAGAAGGGAGAGGTCTGCCATGCCCTGTGGGAGGCTCCCTGCTGTGGAGGGGGCAGATAGCTTGTCAGTCAGTGCGGTGCTTAACCCCTTCAGCCCCAGGGCGGCCCTGTTGAGCTCTCTTCCCTCAGAGTCCTGAACCCGTTATGGGCCCTGCAGTTTTCACGGGCCTCACCCACCTGCCGGTTCTCCTCAACCTCCACTCTTCCCACTTCCAGGCCGCAAACCCACCCCAACGACGACCGGACGGGCTGCGCAAGGGGTTGTGGGAAATGTAGTCTCCAGACCCTATGGTTCCCGCGGAGGTTTCTGGGCGCGGCTTACGCGATCTGCGCAGGCGCAGCACCGTCCCCGTCCATTCAAACGTTCTGGCGCCTCCGCGAGCGCTGGGGCGCCCCGAGGTGAGCGTAGTTTTGTCCCGGGAGATCAGGCTCGGGTGAGCGGAGACGCCGGGGGGTTGGGGAGCTGGGGGCGCGGGCAAGCGGGGGCCCCGGCCGCGTGGAGTCGGGCGCTTTGGAGCGGAATCCCCCCGGAGCGCGCGTGGGGGCGGGGCGGGGCCGTTGGGGAGAACTTCCGGGCCTTTCCGGGGTGTCCCCGGCGCGGCCGCCTGGCCCTGACCCCGGACGCTGCCCGGGGTCTTCCCGCGGCTGGGAACGGGGTCCCCGAGGCGGGGGCCTGGGGAAGCGCGGGTCCGCCTGTGCGCAAAAGCGCTGCTTCCTCTGGGCCCCCTGAAAGTCAGGCGGTGAGGGAGGGGAGAGCCAGGCTGCGTTTCTGGGGGGGGTATTGCGCCCGGGGCGGGATTTGTGGACCCAAAGTGGGCGGGTGATATCGCTTGGTGCCAGGCGGAGGCGGCCCCTGTGGAAGCGGGGAGGTTGGGGGGAAACTGGGTTTTGGGGGGGGGTTTGGGGGGAGTTCCTGGGGCGTCAGAGGCTTGTTGTCTGAATTTCCGGGTGCGTTTTGCATTCCTGCCCCCAGGCGGCGTCCTGCTGGCTGCTACATTCAGGCCTCCTTCCTGGAAGTGCGCACCCCAGGGGGACCAAGTCACTGTCCAGGTGTCCACAGAGAGGAGGGCGGGAGGCGGCGCGGAGCCACTGCCGGGGTGTCCTGGCAGAACAGTGCGTTCGGGGCGTCGTCTCGTTGGAAATCGTGTCCACGCTCTGAAGTGACTCCTCAGCTTTGAGACGGTTGTTCTTGGCGTGACTGTTGATTAGTCAGTGGGAAGTGTCACCTTTTACTAAGTTATGGTGAACCTTAAACCCAAGTTCTGCCACTCATGGACTCGCGGGGCCTCTCCTGCCCCTGCTAGAAGTGTCACACGGCCGTCACCCGCGGTGACTCTCTGGTGTCTCCAGGCAGCGTGTGGCGGGCTCTGGACAGGAGACTCCAGGACCCCAGGCAGCTGCCTCCGTCCTCTGTGCTGGACCCCATCCCCCCTCCCAGCGCCGCCTCCGGAGCCCTGGCGCGTCTGTGAGAGCAGCGACAATGGATCAATCTCTGGTGAGTGCTGTGTTTGCTTCAGCTCCGGGTGCATTGACTTTATGCGAGTACGCCAACAGACACGTAAATTAGAAACATAGTTTTCTCCAGGGACACATTCCTCACCAGAGAAAGGTGTGGCGTAGATCCAGGCACTTCACATGTCCAGCATGTGTGAAGATGGGGCTCTGCCCTGGTTCTCACGCAGCGCAGAGTCAGAGTCTGTACCTGGGTCGCGGTTGATGACACTGAAGGTGTGGACTGTGGCTCTTCACCCCGCTGGACAGAAACACTTCCCAGCTCTGCACTGGTCCGGTGCGGGGTGAGGGAGGAGGGGGAGGATGGGGCCTGAGGACCTGAGTGCAGAATGGGGGTGAAGGAGCCACATGTCTTTTAAAAAGGACAACTGATTTTTTTTCAAGATTTGTTTATTTATACAAGCACTGGGTACAGTCAGAAGCGCGGGAGGGTGAGAGAATTCACCAGAGCCAGAGCGGGGAGCAGAACAGGCAGAAGGACGGAAGTACACTGCTGAGGGGAGCAGCGGGCGGCAGGAGAGGTCTGTGCACCATGTGGGACCCTCGCTGGCCATCGAACTGGCACTGCAGAGGCTGCGGGCAGCTTCACAACCCAACGCTTAACCCCTTGCACCCCCCAGGAGGCCCCAACTGAATTTTTAAGGTTTTTGTGCAGTAGCTAAAATCATATACTGTGTCCTGCACAACTCTCGGAGACTTTCATGCAGGCATCAGTCTTGGCATGTGTGCCGTTGAGTCCAATGGGGGATCCTTACATACCTGCCCCTGCCTTTCTCTCAGGTGGCCTGCAAACCGAAGGTGCCCAGTAGACTCTTCAGAGTCCTTTTTTCTGGCCGTTGTTTCCACTGCTCCTGCACATTTCTCCTTGGTGTGGTCTGAATGCATTTCTAGTAACACTCACTACACCCTAAGTTGCTCTCCAGTCCAGTTACACTCTCCAAATTTTCCTGCCATGTTTGAGAACACCATGTGTGACCTTTGGGAAATTTCATTTTTTTTAATTGTTTTAAAGCTTCTTATACTTTTTTCTTATTCTTTTACTTATTTTCCCTCCTCGATCTGTCATTGACATGTGTAGCACTAAAAGCCTTCTGCTGAAATAGTTGCCAGTTTTTTCCTACAATCCTAATGGGTTTTGTCCTACCCCTTGTTTCCCCTCTACCAAACCACTCTGGCCCATCCCCCGTCTGCCTCCCTCCCTAACTTCTCCACCCATTCCCCTGTTCCCTCTGGTGGTCATCTTTACTTTCAAATAACCCTGTTCAAGTTTTATTCAAGTATTTTGGCTGTAAATGTTTTTTGGGTATTTATTTTCCACAGATGAGTGAAGCCATCTCATATGTGTCTTTACTTTTTGGCTTATTTCACTCAAGAATAGCACCTCCCGGGGCCTCCCTGGTGGCACAAGGGGTTGAGATGCAACCGATGGGGCTGTCTGTAGTCTCTGCAGCACAAGTTCCATCCCCTAGCCAGCCAGGGAGCTACCCATATGGCGCAGCAGACCTGACTGTCCTGCTGCGTCCCTCGGCAGTGCATTTCGGTCTATCTGCCTGTTCTGTTCCCTGCTCTGTCTCTGGTGAATCCTCTCACCTTCCTCCCCTGCACCTCTGGCCTGTACCCCAGCACCTGTATGAATAAATAAATAAATCTTTTAAAAAAATATCACCTCCTTGCCCACCCATTTTATCCTCAGTGTTGCCCTTTGCTCCTTCCTCACAGCCCTGTAGTGCTCCCCTGCGTGTGCTCCACCCTTCCTGCCCTGCCTCTGCCGAAGGGATGTAGATTGGGCCATGACTGGGCAGTTGGAAACACAGCTGCTTTGCTCACGGATGGGATAAATCTTTTTGTGTTTGAGTTTACCCGTGAGGATAATGTGTAGAAGTATTGCAGATGATATGGATTTTCCGTTTTTATTTCCTTAAGAAACCTCTGCACCCTCATCCACAGGGTCTGTTCCGACTGTCATGGCCACCAGCCGTGGTTGAGAGCTCCCTTTTCTCTGTGCCCTCTCCAGCGTTGTTCATTCCATATATATATTCTTTTTTTAGTGTTTCACCTTTTTTTTTTTTTAAGATTTGTTTATTTATATTGGGTTTTTCACTACGCTGCTTGGCAGTCTGCGCGCCATGTTCCTTCGGTGGCCGGAGAGCAGCCGGGGATCGAACTGGCGCTGCAGAGGCTGCGGACAGCTTCGCAACCCAGCGCTCAACCGCTTGTTTAAATACTATTTTACATATTTTTACATCATTTTCATTTTTGCACAGTGTAATCATTTACATCTTTGTTATAGTCCCCATAAAATTCTCACCCCTCACCCCCCGTTTTGTATACATCCATTCGTTTTCATTTGGGCCTTCTCAAGAGGTGAGGTGACATCTAAGTGTGCTTTTAATTTACATTTCTCTTAAAATAAGTTAATATGAACATTCCTATTGTCTGTAGGATGTCAGAATTCCCTCTCTAGAGAAGAGTGTATGTAGTTCCTTTGTCCATTTTTTAATTAAGATTTATTCATTTATGCATACAAGAACTGGGGTACAGGCGAGAGGTGCAGAGGGTGAGAGGATTCGCCAGAGACAGAGTGGGGAGCAGAACAGGCAAACTTACTGAAACACACTGCTGAGGGGAGCAGTGGGGAGTCAGGAGAGGTCTGCTGTGCCATGCGGGTTGCTCCCTGCCGCCAGGGATCGAACTCGCGCTGCAGAGGCTGTGGAGAGCTTCATAGGCTGCGTCCCAACCCCTTGTGTCACCAGGGAGGCCCCCCTTTGTCCATTTTTAATTGAGTCATCAGTTGGTTTCTCGCATTGTTTGGGGATGTTATAAATTTTGGAATGAACCCCTTGTCACATGTGTGGCATGCAGATTATTTTTCTGTTCTGTAGACTGCCTTTCAGTTTTTGGGCTGGTTTCTTTTGAGGTGTGAAAGCTTTTAGGTTTAATGGTGTCCCACTTGTTGATTTTTGCTTTTGTTTCCCTGGGTGTTGGGGTTGTGTTCCCTAGTGCACTTTGGGGCAACTGTCCTTAGTGTGTCCCTATATTTTCTGTCAATTACATCACCAAATATTTAAACCATTTGAAATTTTATAGATTTATTTATATATCCATATAAGAGCTGGGGTACAGGCCAGACATGTGGTGGGTGAGAGGATTGACCAGAGACAGAGAGGGGAACAAAACAGGCAGATCTGGTGAAATCTACTAAGGGGAACTGCAAGGAGACAGGAGAGGTCAGGTGTGCTGTGTGGGTGAGTTCCCTGTCTGGGGATTGAACTCATGCTGCAGGGGCTGTGGATAGCTTCATAGTGCTTTGCCTTAACCCCTTGCTTCACCAGGGAGACTCCATGTTGCTGTATTAAGTCGGTTGGAATTTGTTGAGGATTTTCGCTTCTCTGTACTTTGGTGGTGTTGGTCTATTTTTCCCTTTTATGCTGCCTTTGTTTTGGGGGGATCAGGGCAATGTTGACCTCGTCGTATGTGTTGGTGAGTTTTCCTCCGTCTTCAGTGTTTTGGAAGATGCAAATTTCTTTGTGTTTGCTTCTGTCATGGTCTCTCTGATGATTTCTTTTCTGTGTCCCTGAATGCTTGAGTATCTTGTGCTCCTGAATGTAGCTAATCCCTGCGTTCCGATCTGGTCTCCCGTCTTCAGTCTGCACTTCTCCTGAGTGAGTCAGTCAGCTGTGTTTTGCCATTTCTGCCAGTTACACTTGAGCGTGGGCCTCCTGCCCAGGCCTAGTACCACAGGCTCCGCTCCCACCTGACTGCGCCTGTAGCCATCCCAATGGCACCTGCCGCTCATGCAACATGCAAACCTCGTCCTGTGTTGTGCCCTCCCATGTGGGATTAGATCCTTCTCGGCACAGGTCTCCCGCCACCAGAAAGGGATTTCTCTGTTCCAGAGTTTAGTCTCACCCAATGCAAGTTACTCTTCAATATTACCTGATATCTTAATGGTTGCTAACAACAGCACCGCCGTGCGTGCGTGTGGGTGTGTGTGTTTGTCTGTGTGTGTTCACTTTCTTTCACATTACAGTTCTCATTCTTGGCCAAACCTGATGGGTACGTTTTCTCAGTGATGAGGTTGCTCACTTTTCTGCCTCCGACTGGCCAGGGTGTGGTGACACCTCAGAGTTCAGGGGAAGAAAGTACTCAGGGGTCAGTGGGACACGTTTGAACAAGGGTCATGACACAGACACTCACTGAGTAAAACCAGGTAGCACAGATGTTCATCATTTGACCTTTGGTTGTTGGGAGTTTATGTCAGTGATGCTCAATGTAGTTATTAATAAAGAGCTCCAGGTTTCTGTCATCGAGTCTGGAGTATAGTAGGTGTGTTTGCATTTGTCATACATATGATTATTGCTGAAATTATGGTTAATGGTAGATTTTTTTTAATTTTGATAGATGTTTATAGAATATTGATAGAATGAATATATTTTGCAACCTAATTTTTCCAGCTCTTCTGTCACCTGTGACCATGCAAGTGTTTCATTTTATAAACCTTTGCACTGTGGGGAGCAGCAGTGGCTGTTCTTCTGCCCAGCATGACTGTTGCTTTCTTTTCTCCTTTTCCTAGTAAACGTGGCCCTCCATTCATTCATTCATTCATTCATTCATTCATAATTTAAAAGATGAACTTATTTATGCATACAGAAACTGGGGTATGGGCCAGAGGTGTGGGGGGGATGATTCTCCAGAGACAGAGTGGGGAGCAGAACAGGCAAATCTATTGAAATACACTGCTGAGGGGAGCAGTGGGCGAATCAGGAGAGGTCTGCCACGCCATGTGGGTAGCTCTCTGGCTGGGGATTGAACTCGTGCTGCTGTGGCTGCGGGACAGCTCCATAGGTAGTGTCTTTACCTTTGTGCCACCAGGAAAGCCCCTGACCCTTTATTTAAATGTAAAATAAAAAGTCTCCTTTCACTGTTATTGCATGTGGTGTTCTTTGGCTTTTAGTATCTGACAGTGTTATACAGCCATCACCACCTTTCAGATTTTTTCATTTCCCAGTAATGAAATACTGTACTCATTAAACTCTCGCTCCCAACTGCTCTGTCCCTCAGCCCCTGTATCCACCATTTGCTTTCTGTTTTCAAGAGTTTAACAAACAGACCTGTATGAATGGAGTCTTATTACAACTTGTTTTCTTGGTGAATCTCTTATTTTATTGCATTGTTAACTCTTTTGTCATTTCATAGGTATCGTACAGGAGTGCATTCATATTGTAGTGTGTGTCATTGTTTAGTTCCATTGTGAGGCTCATTAATAATCTCTTATGTGTATTTACCAGTCTTATTTATCCATTAATCCATCACCTGGGGCTTGGGTTGATTTTGCATTAGGCTGTAATACTGGTCGTGCAGTGACAGTAGGTGAGCAAACATCTCTGCCCGTTCCTGCTGTCCCTGCTATTGGTGAACACCCCGTGGTGGGTGTGGGTCCTCCTGTCATTCTGAATTCCCTTTTCCCAAGAATCACCTTCCTGTCTTCCCTCCTGGCTGCATCATTTATGTTTGCCCCAACAGTGTGCAAGGGAGCCCGGTCCCAATTTTTGCCAGTACATGTTCTTTTCTTTCTTTTTAAATCATTGCGATCCCAGCGGACATAAAATCTCATCTCTTGTAGTTCTCATTCATTTTTACTTCGTGCCTGCTCGTATTGAGAACGTTCATGTGTTAGGACCCGCTTGGGTATGTGATTTGCAGAACTGTGTATTCCAGTCCTTTACTCATGGTGGCACATTTCCATTTTGAACAGGGTTGAAAACGTGAGGGGATTGTATTTTCCCATTTCATCATATGGTCCTTTTATGGCATCCTGAGCCCACTCATGCTGGGAGGTCCCGTGAGTTTCTGTGCGCAGAAATGAGCCATCCACCTTCTCTCTGCTGTTGTTTTTATTTCTCGTATTAGTGTTTTAATCAATGAGTCTGTAAATAAGTGCATTTTTGTTGTCCTAGAACTGGGATGTGCCAGGTTACCTTGCGAGAGTTGCTGTCAGTGCAGCAGGCTCATAGTGTCCTGGATGCTGTTGTGTCTTTGCATTTGTTTAATTCATTGTTTAACCCTCCGGGTTTCTTTATTCCAGCGAGTCTCTGCCCTTGGTTCCGCTACATGCATTGCTTACTGTTTTGTCATTTCACTGGCAGCGTACAGGAGCTCCTGTGTGTGTGAACACGGGTGTGTGTTATAGTCTGCTCACTGGGTTTTCCTTTCCAGAGTCGCTTTACTGTGGCTTTCATTAGTTTTCCAAGAATGAATTATAACTAGTTATGACCGTTTTTATGTAGGTTGTCTTTTTGTTGTTGTTGTTACATAGCGTCACCCAAACCCATTGTGAATAGGGGACACTGAGCATCTTTGTTAGTCCTCCTCTCACTGTGAATGTTGATTGTGCCTGTGGCTGTGTCAAGGACTTGTTTTGTGTTGAGGAAAAATCCTCTGAATCATTTTTTAGCTAATACAAATGGAAATTTATTTTAATGGGTTCCTATTCTATATGTATGTGGAGGTGCACAGGATTTACTACACAGGAAAGGAAATGATGGAATAAATTTACGGATTTCTTAAAATGTTTGTTTTCTTATACCGTTACCGTGTATCTTATTTTCCAAAACTCTTTCATTGCTATGATCTATTTTTTTCTTTCTCCAAAAGAAATATTTGTCTCTTCTAGTTGTTTTTCCTCTTCTTTCGATACCTTTTGTTCTGGTCACCGTGTTCTCCCCTACGGTGATGAAAACTATCAATAATATCCTGGAGATTCCCAAATTCTTTCTTTTTTTAATATTTATTTTATGTATGAATATAAACGCTCAGGTGTAGGCCACAGGTGCAGGGGGTGAGAGGATTCACCAGAGACAGAGCAGGGAACAGAACAGGCAGACTGACTGAAATACACTGCTGAGGGGAGCAGTGGGGAGACAGGAGATATCTGCTGCACCTTGTGGATAGCTCCCTGGTTGGGGATCGAATTCGTGCTGCAGCAGCTGCCGATAGCTTCATAGTGCTGAGACTTAAACTCTTGTACCACCAGGGAGGCCCTGATTCCCAAATTTCTGTTTTCAACTTATACTTCCTGATCTATCAGACACATGTCCAGTTGCGTGTGGAATTCCAGTGTCTACCAGCCTGTCATGCGGACAGCATATTAGGAAAACATTCCTTGTACCTCAGCCACCAAGTTATTACCAAGTTCTCCTCCCCTTTGTCCTTCCATTTTAGAAGTGATGACCTGTTCTATCATCTTTTGACTCTGTCAGCTGAACATCTTTTCTTAAAATTTTATTTTATATATATTTTATATCATTTTTTTATTTCTGCACAAGTTATGCATTTTCATCTTGGTTATAGTCCCCATACATCCCACCCCCCTTATTTTGACCCTAATCCCTCCACCCCCCATAGTGCATCTCTGGTTTATACTTGCTTGTAGTTGAACATCTCTTACCTGAGCTTTTTCCCACCTCATTGCTTGAACAGTCTGGTTTCGGGTTCAGTTTTTGTTTACTGTGAGTTGGAGATACCAGGCTTTGAGGTCACAGGAGTAAAATATTGGCACAAAGTTGCACACAATTTTCATTTGTTATGAAGCTCCTTTAGCACATGATTCCGGGTGTATGTCTGTTACACCTGCCAGCCAGGCTATCAGCTCCTCAAGGAGCCAATTTTATTCATCCTTTTATTCTTAGAATCATAGACACTTCCAAATATATAAGGTAAGCTATAGTTCTACTTGTAGGACCAAAGGGGTGAATGTAGAGGTGAGACTCTTTCAACTGCGAATTCTATACAGGACCGAAGACCCACAAAATAAGATGTGTTTGCACTTGCTCTATCTGACCCAGGCTGCCGGCCCTGAGATGAGAAATGTTCCCTCAGAAGAGACGGTGTCATTTGAAGATGTGGCTGTGAACTTCACGTGGCAGGAGTGGCGGTACCTGAGTGAAGCTCAGAGGACCCTGTACCGGGATGTGATGCTGGAGACCTGCAATCACCTGGTGTCCCTAGGTGAGGAAGCTCCAGTGTAACACTAGTGCAATGCTGTCTTCTGCACCGATAAGTGTGCACTTGCTTATGAAACTGAGTGTTGGTGAGGTTGAACATGGCAGGCAGTGTACATTGTGGGTGTTTCGGTTTTCGTTTGGAAAGATTCAGATTGGCCTCTTTTGCACAGCTCTTCACACTGCATTTGTTAGTTTTCAAAGACTGAAGTTGAACTTTATCGAAGACCAACACTGTTTCTCATCACAGGGCACTGTGTTACCGATCCTGAGGAGAGCATCAGGTCGGAGCAGGGATTACAGCCGTGGACTGTGGACGATCCCCCAAACCAGGACCTCTCAGGTCAGTCAGTGCTTGCCAGGCCGGGAGGCTGAGTGGAGGCTGGGAGTGTGGCCAGTGATATTGGCCACACTGAGGTGCTTTTCCAGTGTCCAAACTTGGAGAGTGTGTCTGCATGTATCAAACTGATTCTTTATTCAGTTTCCAAATATTAATCTCTTGTGAATTTTGTCCTGCTCATTAATGATGGTTGTCTATGTTCTTAAACCAGTATGCAGTCCCTGATACTGTGGGGATTATTCTGCAGTAATCACATTTCTCTGTTCTCTCTCTTAGTGTATTCTCATAGACTGTTTTCTTTAGGTACCTGTTGAGGAATTTTTTTATTCTTTCCGTATGTTTATGGGAAGTTTAGCCAGTGGTAAATTTTCTGAGGGGAGAGCAACAGTACTCACAGAAATGATCTTTACATTCTGAAGTTATATGCTCTGTGAGGAAAGAATATGTAATAAATACATTCATTAATAGAGAGGTAAAGCCACAGAGGATGTTTGACCAGCATGAGTGGAGGATGTTGTTTTTGTGTGTGTTCCATACGCATCATTATAGAGATAATTATTTTCTTTCAGAGCTCAGGTGAGGTGAATGGGTTGCACTGACATGTCATATCTATAGTTCCCTCTGCAGTCTGGGATAGAGGCTATGTATTGCTGTTGGAGATGTCACTGAGCAGGTGACTAACTCAAAAGGGATAGAGAGGCGTTGACTGGAGAGTTATTTAGAACATGAGTAGTGTTTCAGGGGCAAGCCTTGTGACCGCCCTCATAGTAATTGTGAGGCTGAGGAGGACCCAGAATTGTTCAGCGTTGGAAGGGATGTTCTGTGACATGGGAGGGGGAACCTGAGGTGGTGGTTTCTAAAGCCATGGCACCAAGAGTTTCAGGTTGGGGCTCATACCTTGGGGAGCAGTGTGACCTGTGCAATTCCACCTTCTCGTGGGAATCATTGGGAGGAAAGTAAAGGAATCGACGACAGTGTGATGTAGCTGAGAGTCACACACGACATAAAAACTGGAGCTGCTATGAACAAAGCAGAAACACAGGTTCCAGGGAGTGCGTTGAGACCACCAGGGTGTTGCTCTCAGAAGGATGTGAGAAAAGACTTTAACGCTGATAACACAGGATGGATGCAGAACTTTTTTCCTATCGCTTAGCAGGAACGTGGGACACAATGATGAGGTGGAGTTTGCTGCATGTATTAGGATTCTGAGCCTTATGTGATATGATATTTAAATATGAACTGACTGGTCTCTTCCGTGGAGGGAAGCGCATGCCTCTGAGAACCTCTGCAGGTGACCGTGGCCCGGGCCAGGGTCGAAAGAAGAACTAAGGAAATGGAGAAGCAGAGTGCTTGTGTCTCAGCAGGCCTCTTGCTTAAAGTGCCTGGGCAATGACTGGGTCTCTCAGTCCACAGGTTTCTGGGAAAGCCATGGCCTCTGCAGGGCTTGGTTATTCAGAAAGTACCCTCAAGAGCTGCACAGGGTCAGTCTAAGAAAGAAAGTGTGTAGGATCTATGTTGGGTGAAATGCTTCTGGTTGAAATCGACAACTCTAGTTAAAAGACTATATTTACCAAATATTTATGATTTTATAAAACCATTGTGAAATTAGATTTACTGCTTTGTTATCCTGGTTTGGCATTAGAAAATCTGTTAATTGGGGCCTCCCTGGAGGCCTAGGGATTAAGTCTCTTAGCTCTCACTATTATGGCCTGAGTTTGATCCACAGTGAAGGAGTTCACTGACTTTGGCACAGCAAATCTCTCCTGTCTCACCCGCTGCTCCCCTCAACAGTGTATTTCAGTCAGTCCGCCTGTTCTGGTCAACACACTCCCTCCATACTCCCCTACAGCACCCCCACTCCTGCACCTCTGGCCTACACCCCAGATCTCCTATGCTAAAGTAAAAAATACCAAAAAATCTATTCTCCCCATAATTTACTATGGGCAAAAAGCATGAATCAGAAAATCAATACCTGTAAATTATGTTGTAATATAGGAACTTTCGTGCCGCTTAGTAGTATTCACTCAGAATGCTTACTTTTTAGAGACATGGTCATTTTTATCTCACTTTAGATGTCCATACTGTGGATCACCTGACTCAGGACAGCCCTGCAAATCAGGGCAGACATGTGTGGCAAGTTCTTACCACCAGCAGCAAAATACCATCCAACGAGAGAACTGACTTAATGGAAAAAAGCAATTTGCACTCAATTCATTGTTTGAACCATAGTATCAAAAATGAAAACAATTCAGCAATGATGCCTGAGAACTTTACTATACATAGGACCATGATGATCCCTGGTGAGCCTCATGAAGGGCATGCTGGAGAGAACGAGGAGGTCTTTAGTAGAATGAGGGAACCTATCAAGTATCCTGAGCACCTTAGTCACCAGGTGATTCAGAACTTTCAACAGCCTTTTGAATTTCGTGAACAAGGAAAAGTCGTGAGTGAAGAAACAGTATTTACACCTAGAGGAGCCCTTCTGGAAGGGATTGTCCGTAAATGCAATGAGTGCAGGGACACCCGTGATGAGGTACCTTTCGTTGTCCGAGACAGAACCCAAGGAGGACAGACTCCCTGCAGTTGTAATGAAAAGGGGAGAGCTGCGGAGATGACTCCAGTGCATTTGAATCCTCCTAGGTATGTTGAACATGAGCAGCAGAAATGTTGTGAAAGTGGGGCCAGTCTCAGAAACACATTTCATACCTATCCGCGTGAGAGTACCCAGTTAGGAAAGAATAATTTGGGATATAAGAGATATGGTGAAGCGGCCTCTAAAACCTCTGTTCTGACTGAACATCAGAAAACACAAGCAGACGATCAACCTGATGAGTGTGGGGGCACCGCTGAGATTTCCTTACAGAGGGGATACCAGAGAAATCTCACTGCAGTGAAGTTGTTTGGCTCTAACGATTATGTGAAAACTTACTCATGGAAGACTGCCCTCACTTTACATCCACAGTCTCAAACGGGAGTGAAGCGCTACCCGTGTCAGGTGTGTAAGAAAACTTTCAGGCGGAAACCTGCTTTTAGTGTCCATCAGAGAACTCATACAAGGGAGAAATCCTATGAATGTCAGGCGTGCAGGAAAGTGTTCTCCGTAAGTCAGTTCTTGTTCTACATGAGAGGACTCACACTGGAGAGAAATGCTATGAATGTGAAGGGTGTGGGAAAGCTTTTTCCAGGAAGTCTCACCTTACTGAGCATCAGAGAATTCACACTGGAGAGAAGCCTTACGAATGTCAAGAGTGTAGGAAGACTTTCCTCTGGAAATCATCCCTCAGTAAACATCAGAGAATTCACACTGGAGAGAAGCCCTATGATTGTGAAGGGTGTGGGAAAGCTTTTTCTAGTAAGACACACCTTATTAGACATCAGACAATTCACACTGGAGAGAAACCCTATGAATGTGAAGGGTGTGGTAAAGCTTTTTCCAGTAGGTGTTACCTCAGTGAGCATCAGACAATTCACAGTGGAGAGAAGCCTTATGAATGTCAAGAGTGTAGTAAGACTTTCCGATGGAAATCATCCCTCAGTCAACATCAGAGAAGTCACACTGGAGAGAAAGCCTATTATTGTGAAGAGTGTGGGAAAGCTTTTTCCAGTAAGTGTTACCTCAGTGAGCATCAGAGAATTCACACTGGAGAGAAGCCTTATGAATGTCAAGAGTGTGGGAAGACTTTCCAGTGGAAATCATCCCTCAGTAAACATCAGAGAATTCACACTGGAGAGAAACCCTATGATTGTGAAGGGTGTGGGAAAGCATTTTCTCGTAAGGCACACCTCATTAGACATCAGAGAATTCACACTGGAGAGAAACCCTATGATTGTGAAGGGTGTGGGAAAGCTTTTTCCTGTAAGTCACACCTCATTAGACATCAGAGAAGTCACACTGGAGAGAAACCCTTTGATTGTGAAGTGTGTGGGAAAGCTTTTTCCCGTAAGTCCAACCTCATTACACATCAGAGAATTCATAGTGGAGGGAAATCCTATGAGTGAGTGTCAAGAATGTGGGAAGGCTTTCCGCCAGAAATCATCCCTCAGTAAACATCAGAGAAGTCACAGTGGAGAGAAGCCTTATGAGTGTCAAGAGTGTGGAAAAACTTTTTCCAGTAAGCAAGCTCTCACTGGACATCAGAGATGTCACTGGACAAAATCCCTGATTGTGAAGAGTGGGAATACTTTTCAGGAAGTCAGCCCTCACTAGGCATGACAAACTCCACACTGGAGGGAAATGCTGTGAATGTCAAGAGTGTGCAGGCAAGCCTCCCCTGGACTTTGTGGTGGGAGTTTGATTCCCTGGCCGGCCAGGAGCAGCCCCATGGTGCGGCAGACCTCTCCATTCTGGCCCACTGCATGTATTTCAGCAGTGTATTTTGGTCAGTCTGCCTGTACTGTTCCCCGCTCTGTTTCTGCTGCATCCTCTCACCCTCCCACACATCTGGCCTGTACCCTTGTTCTTGTATGCTTGAATAAATAAAAATATTTTAAAAAATATTCAAACGTAGAAGCTCAAACCACATCATGCAGCTGAGAGCAATGGGAACTGACATACAGTTTCAATCCTAATTGCGTGGAGTTACCTGGTTCACTCTGTTCTCCCAAGTTCATGCAGTGATGATGTCACTGTTCTGTTGCCGTTGCCTCTAGTATCCTCTTAAGTTCCTGGGCGATGCTATGCCTGTCCACAGCAGCTGTCTGTCTACATGGCACACTGCATGTTGCGTGGGTAAGTGATCTCTCTGGGTTTTCTAACTTAGTCGTCACATTCTGTCCAGTACTCTAAGTCTCTGTGGTGCCCCCCGATGCTGGAATTGCTCACCACCAAAATGTCCTCCTCTAGAAGGAAACGTTGAACTGTGTGCTATCGGCTATAGGTTGAGGTCTGCAGATGTCTTTACCTACCTTTCATGATGAAGGTTTTTCGGGGCCTCCCTGGTGGCCTCGGGGTTAAGTCTCAGCGCTATTGCCTGCTCTGGCCAGGGTTTCAGCCCCAGCTAGGGAGCCGCCCCACATATGGCCGCAGCAGGCCTCTCCTGTGTCACCCGCTGCTCCCGTTAGCCAGGTATTTCAGTGGTTCTGCTTGTTTGTCACCACACTCAGTGTCTGGTGAATCCTAACACCCCCGAACCTCTGGTCTACACCCCAGTTCTACAAAATAAGGGAATTTTGTTGGAAGATTAATTCTGCATACAAGATCTGGGGTGCAAGCCGGAGGTATGAGGGGTGAGAGGATTCTCCACAGAGAGAGTGGGGTGCACAACAGGCGGATCTACTGAAATCCACTGCTGAGGGGGGCAGTAGGGACACAGGATAGGTCTACTGTGCCCGTGGGTCACCTCCCTGGCCAGGGATCGAACTCATGTCTGCAGTACTGAGAACAGCTTCATAGTGGTGAGACTTCACCCCTGCACCAACTGAGGCCCCTGAAATTTTTTTAAAGGAAAGGATTCTTGCCTGTTAAAATTTTTTTATTAAATTATTGTTCATCTTTGTGCAATATTGGATTGCTCCCCTTCTGTATAATTCTTGCAAATGTCCTGTCCGCACCGCCCCTGTGACCCGTCACCCCAGGCCCTGGTGCTCCTCCTCCCCTCCTGGCCCCTCTTCTGCCCCATCCCCTGCTGGCGTCTCAGCTCTGTCATCTGCCTGCTAGTTTTGTCTTTTTCCCCTGACCCTTTCTTCATTCCCCTGTATTCCTCCTGGAGGTGATGATGTAATCCAGGTCTTTTTCCTTCACTCTTTGTTCAGAACATAATCCCTTCCGCCGTTGCTGGCCGTGTCCTGAATGTGGTCTTTGTCTGAGTCAGTTCATAGCTTGGGGTGAGTGGTCGGTGTGGAAGGTGGTGGCTGAGGAAGTCCTTGATGTAACTCTCTCTACCACTCCCCCCTCAGGGGCCCGGGCACCTTCTGGTGTGTTTCTTTGGTCCATGGTGATGCCGAGCGGAGAGTTTGTGCAGCAGGCCCGGAGTCTGAGGCCTCGGGTGTGCTCTTCCTCATTTCTTGTCTTTGGTGCGAAAGTACTTCCAAGTGGAGCCCAGAGTTCCAGAAGAGCCAGACATTTACTCACAGGAGTAAGGACAAGAAAGCTCCCTGAGCAGAACGGTCCCGAGGGGTGGCCGCTGGGGCCGAGAAGCAGGGGCTCCCACGGCTGTGGCGGTCAGGGAGCGGGTGCTGGTCGTGGAGGTCTCTGTGGCGTGTCTCTTGCTGAGGGGCTTGGCCTGAGGCCTCTCCCGAGGCTCCGAGGCCCGCTGTTTGCCCCCGTTACTCGCCTGCATGTCCACACCTAGCCTCGGTCTGTGGATTTGCAGTCGTGCCCTGTGTGGGCTCCGCGGCGTCCTCTCCGCAGGGCTGGGCTCGGGGCCGTCCATCGGGGATTGTTTCTCTGATCATGGATTTGGGACTTGGGCGCCTGCTCCTCCCTGCCCGTGCCCTCTACACAGCTTCCTCAGTCAGGAACATCTCTACGGCCAGAGCCCCGTCCTGTGTTTCCAGGTCGGTGACTGACGGGGTGTCTGTCCCCTGAGAGCATCTTCCCTGATTCAGGGGGAGGTACATTGGTCCCTTCAAACTCCACCTGGAGTTTCGGGCCCACGGGCCATATTCCTCAACACACTGTGGGAGGTCGCTGAGGTTTTCACCCCTAGGCCGCAGGCCGCTTTCCACGATGCTGCAGGCTCCTAGGTGTCCTTGAGCGCCCATTAAAGATGGCATTGGGCCCCTCAGCCTTCACCTCAGACCTGGTCCAAAGAGGCCTGCAGGGTTTGCTAAGACAACACTCCTCTGCTAGTGCCACGTTCCCTGGAAGTGTCTGTTGCTGTGACGTGACCCATGTGGGCTGTTGCAGCAAGGGTCACTCTCTGCTCTGAAGGTGAGGGGTTCAGGGGACTCGTGTCATGTCCCCCTGCAGGTGTGTTGGGGCATCCAGGGGTGTGGCAGGTGAGGCCTCTGTGGATGGGTGGGCGGCCCAGGTGGGTGGTGATGCTGTCAGCGGTGGCCCAGGAGAGGCCTCCACCGTGCTCCGTGGGGACCTTGCCCAGCTCAGCCGCATCCCGGGGTCAGGACGCGCAGCATCAGCACAGCCCAGAGACACTGTCCACGCTCCAGCGGTGAGGACACTACAGGAGCCTTGATCTCCAGGGACAGGTTGTGGACCAGGGCAGGGGAGCAATCCCCAGAGACGAGTGGGGAGCAGAACAGGCAGATCCATTGAAATCCACTGCTGAGGGGAGCTGCGGGGAGACAGGAGAGGTGCTGCGCCCTGTGGGTCAGCTCCCTGGCTGGGGATGGAGTTCTTGCTGCAGTGGCTGTGGACAGCTTCACGGTCTGAGACTTACGGAGCAGGGAGGCTATGGGTCCATTCTTGTGTGGGGCGCTTATCCTTTGGATATGGGGACAAGAGTGTGTGCTACTTGCAGGTCTGTGCCATCTCCCTTGGTCGCCCCCACCCCTAAGTTCATCCCCTGGATGAAAGGGAGTGTACCCATAAGATACCGAGGTGGATGGCCGGTCTTGGGCTGCGAGGTTCTCTTTCTCTGGAGAAGCAGAACTGCTCGGGAAGAACATGTTCGTCTTGGTAATGTAGCCAGGCTAGAAGACAAAGAATAGTTTGACTTTTAACCCTTTGCACTCTGAACCATTCTGGACATTGGCTACCAGCTACTCGACACTACTTTGTGGCGGAAACGTGCATTTACAGACCCTCGTATTATTTAGTATAATTTTGGAACCAAGTAACGTATTATAATGATATTGGACTTATATGAATTGGGTGACATCGAGGAATGTGTATTTGCAAAAAAAAAAAACCAATATTTTATTGTTTATAATTTTGTACAGTATGATAAGTTTTGTAACACTCCCCAATATGCATTGCAGGGTGATTAGTGGAGCTCATCTTTACTACTACTTGTGTCATGAGACTCATTCGTGGTTGGACGCTTTGCCATTGTTCTAATAAAAATATAAATAAATGCATGGGTTGAAAGTTTCTAATTGTTATTACTAACTGACAAGATGATATTTACCAAAATAGCTTTCACCAAACAATTTATTCACTAAGAAAAGAATCACTTTCCGATTTTCTCCTCGTTAGATCTATGTGCACTGCTCGAAGCTTCAAACCAAAATGAGCTCAGCTTTGAAAATCTTTTCCTCCAGATGTAGACTTGTTTATTTGTAATTATATATCTCACTACACAGTGTGCACTATGTTTGAAAACCGACCTTTCTTCTACAAACTCCCCTTATACTCTTTTCAAGTGGCGTCGTGAAGTGCTCGGACCGTCGTGAGCACGCATCTCACATTCTCGTCCGACACAAAACCCTCTGGCATTTCTTGTATATATCTTAGTAATTTTACGATATTTTGATTTAATTTCTTGTGCCTTTTCAAGATAAATCTTCAGGGAAACATGCATGTCTCAAAAAGTTGCGTTGAAATAACTCAATTCCCTGTAATCACTAATAAATTGCAATGTCCCCTGAGAGGGGACATCCGAGTGATATGCTAGAATTCCGATGTCCCCTGAGAGGGGACAGCGGAGTGCAAAGGGTTAAGCAATGAGCAGCAGGAACACAGGTCTATTTTGGGATGTATGTAAGCCTTTGGGACACCCTGGATTCAGAAATAAGAGTTATACGACAGAGTGAGTGTATGTAATGCCACCAAACTCTGCACTGAAAAACATATGCCTTCCTAAGTACAAATAATGAACTAGAAGAGGAAATTAACAAAGCCATCCCACCTACAATTGCACACGCAAAAAAATTAACTGGGAATAAATTTAACAAAGGAGGTGAAAGACTTTTACAAGGAAAACTATCAAACATTGTGGAAAAAATAATAGAAAGCGTAGAGAAATGGAAAGAAAGACCCAGCTCATGGGGTAGAAGAATCAACATTGTCCAAAGGGCCATCCAACCCAAAGCCCCTTCTAGATTCACTGCAACCCCAATAAATATCCCGAAGGCATTATTCAGAGGAATAGAACAAAGATTACTGAGGTTCATATGGAAACACAAAGACCCCAAATAACCAAAGCTTTCCTGATTAAAAGTGGGGGGAAATGAAGGAGTCACACTTCTGATCTCAAACTAAAGGTAAGGGGCCTCCCTGGTGGCCCAGGGGTTAAACACAGTGCTCTCAAACTACTGCCAGCCACTGTGCACAAGTTGGATCCCCAGCCAGCCAGGGAGCTGACTGCCATGTGCCTCAGACCTCTCCTGACTGGCCTGCTGCGCCCCTCAGCAGTGTATTTTGTCAATTGGCCTGCTCTGTTCCCTGCTCTGTCTCTGGGGAATCCTCTCAACCCCGGCATCTACGGCCTGTACCCCAGCTCTTGTGTGCATAAATAAATAAATCTTAACTATTTGTTAAACGAGTATTTTGGAAAGCCAAATAATTGAGCTAGAGTTACCTTATCAAATCCTTAGTTATAAATTAATCTGACTTGTGATATC